ACTTGTTTTACAGGCTGTTACCTGTTGAACCACCACCTATGGCTAAAACATGATTACCTTTTGAACCACCCAGTGCAAAATAGGCAATGAAACTCAACACCCACACTTGATGCAGGTGAAGGCCCTGAAGACCACCCACAGCAAGCAGCAGTAGCAGCTGCCAGCCCAGTTGAAGGCCAGGGGTTGCCAACTAATGAAAGGTTCTTTAGACCTTTGGCCTATGGCTAAAACATGAGTGGCGCTGTACTTGTTTTACAGGCTGTTACTTTGAACCACCCAATGGAGAGGGTTTGCAGGCACATCTATGGGAATATAACCTAGCACCCCTTTCATGCCCAGGTGAATGTCATGGAGATCACCAATCTCAGCAACCAGCAGCAGCAGTTGCCAACTCTGTGCAAGGCCAGGGGTTAAAAGAAGTTCATTACCATATTGACTGTTATGGCTAAAACATGTGCGCTGCATTTGTTTTTTACAACAGGCTGCTAGCTCTGTTAAACCACCACCCAGTGCAGAGTATTAAATAAGGGTTTGCAATAATATTGTCTTCTGATGTGCCATGGGGGTGAAAGTCAGCACCCCTGCTTGATTTTGGATTTCTTGCCCAGGTGAAGGTCATGGAGACCATGTACCAGAACCAAGACATGCGCATCCAACTGGGGTGAGAAGGCCTAAGGTCTATTCCACACCACAGGAGGCTGTGCAAGGGATGCTTCCACCTGGGAGCAAGTTAGTACTCAACCACAATGACCACAGGTTTACCACCACATGGACAGGTCCTTCTGACCATGTACCACCAGAGCTGAGGAACAAAACCTTTTCCAGAAGCTTTGTAAACAAATCTTGGCAGGATGCCTTAGCTGAATGCCACATGAGGGTGTGGCAAAAGTGGGGATTTCAAAAGAGTGGACTGCCTTTACCATCTGGAATGGCAGAACAAGAACCAGGTGTGGTCCCAGATTCTGTTTTGGAGGCGCTTCAGCCTTTCATCGACAACTTACCAGAAGCAAAGAAGTATGGGAAGACCAAATGACCGTAGTTAGAATGCATACTTATGTTCTACTGTGCTGTTTTGAGATGAGCTTCCCATATGTTTCTGGCCAGTGGGACAACTGCTAGCACCTAAGGTGCAAGTCAGAGAGGAAAAGGAAAAGGACAACTTCAAGAGTTTTTCAGTGCTGGTTTGTGGCAAGTGTTCCAGTGTGCATGGGTTACACTTCAAAGTGCATCCAGCAGTGTGATTTCAGACTCACACTGTGGCAGGTAGATGTGGCCTGCAATGGTTGACAGCTTTTGCTTAGATGGAGCAAGAAAAAGAGAGTGCTGAATAGTTTCATTGCAATTTTGCTGCCAGCTTTCTCAGGGATTTTGTCAGCTTCCTCAGGGGTTTTCCAGAGGTTCATTGGGAGCCATCTGGGTTTCCATAAGGATCCTCTTGGGAAACACATGGGCCTAGAAAAATCAATAACGCCTCCAACAGAAACGCTCTGCAAGCCCTCTAATGAGAATATATAAACTTTGGACAATGGGCGGAAATTTCAATGTCCAACACATAAACTATAGGATTTGAGCAGGCGTGACTTGTAAAGTTGCGCAGTCGCTCTCATAGCTGGCAGTCTAACATTCAATGGCCCACACCGCGCTCCAGCAAAACCATCACGCAAGCAGAGCAGACCCTTCCATGAGCATGGTGGGCGGGAAACATGAGCGTGGTGGGCGGGAAACTTCGAGTTTTTAAGGCGCTAGAGCATGCTAGAGCGAGTTTTTAGAGACTCTCGAGTTAGTAAGGCATCCTCCTTACTAACTCACGATGCCTGTGTAACTTGGGACTCGGAGCCTGCTGCAAGAGGGAATCTATGTCCTTGGCAGAGATCCGGTTCCATGCCCTACTTCCTGGACCAGAAGGCCGAGCCTGACTGGAGCTTCCGAGGACTTTCGACCTGCTTAACCCCGAAGGGTGGTTCAAGATGGAGTTGGAGCCTCGCATCGAGCGCAGACAGGAGAGAGCCCTATGGCGTTTGACATGGGGAAATGACAAGAAGACCACTGCGGGGTTGCGCGCGGGGGGTGACACTGGGAGCGAGGAACCACAGCCTCGTGGAGGAAGAAAACCAGCGGCCAACCTCATCGGCCCCAAGCTCACGCAGGAGGAGGTGAATAAGGCCAGGGATCGAGCTCCGGTTGGAAAGGGAGGAGCTCTTCTTTGCTGGGGCTATCTCACCCACTCAGGCTGCCAATCGGCCACCTGCCGGCGGGCCCATGAGAATCTGAAAGGAGCATTCGAGGCTTTGGACCCAGCCGTTCAAATGCAGCTGCTTCGCAGAGGTGGTCTTCGTCGCATGAAGCAGGAGACAGCTGACAGTGTGAAGGAAAAGATTCAAGCCCTTCGACAAGGGGTCCAAAAAGACAAGGCATCGAAGGTGAGCAAACCAAAGAGGAAAGCAGGTGCTGACCGTGACGAGGAGGCCACAGAGAAGTCGGAGGAGGTGAAGGCCGGGGGGGCTACCACTACCGTCCGCTTCAATGACGTGCCTGGAGTTCGAGGCGGTGGACTACACCAAGCAGGAGGACGTCAAGGACTTCGTCAACCACAGGAATCGGGCTTGGGGATTGCCAGTCACTCATCAAGATCGAGGCTACTTTCCACCTCCAGACTTCACCGCTCCTGATGAGGCTTTGAAGATGGTGGATCAGGCAGACAAGCTGGCTGCAGGCCCAGTGTTGAGGAGACTCGAAGGTGCCTCAGATGACTTGTATGCCTCAGCCTTCTCGGGTCACGGCTGATCCGGAGTTGACCTTCGATGATCTTCTGGGCGAAATGGTAGCCTATGGGGTGGCCGATCTCGCAGAGGAGGCAGCGGCCCTGTTGGAAAGGCAGGGAACCACCCAGGCCGGAGAGAACGCCCGACTAGCGGTGAGAGACACCATCTGGGTGGCTGGACAACCGGGCCAGGGCTCGGTGGAAGTAGACGGGAAGTCGTGGCGAAGCTGGGACTATATCAGGAGGAGGTGCACATGTCCGAGGAGCTGGCGGGAATCCTTCAGTTACCGGAGCCGGTGGTGGAGAAGCGTCAGTGCGTGACCAAGACCCTTGCAGGAGGCATCCTTTGGAGAGAGAAGGGAAGACGCCCGTCCTTGGAAGAAGTCGAGGTGAAGGCCCAGGAACTGCTGGACAGACATGAACTTGGGAGCCTTCTCCTTCAAAAGGGCCATGGTGGCATAGAGCCCTTCTCCTTTTTTGACATTGCTGCCACCTTCTCCTCTTCCTCTCCGTCATTTTTGATGGCTGTTTGCATTTTGCCCCAAGCACTCTGCTGCTCCTGTGGTGTTAAAGTCTTCTTCAGTTCTTGGGCTGCCTCCTTTGCAGTCTCAGCTCCGTCAGTTGCCATTTGGACCCTCTCTTTGAGGCTGAGCCCCCCCAGCTTCTTCAAGCTCTGTTTCCTCAAAGGTTTCTTCAAAATGCTTTTTTGCTTTTGGCAAGCTTTTAGCTTTTGGCTTGTCTTTGCTTGACCCAGACTTGGGCTTCCTTGTACTTGCCTTTGCTTTTGCAATGGCATTTTTTACTAGCTTGCCTTTTGTCAAGGCTTTGGCTGTGGCTTTTGGCTTGCCTTTCCCCATTTCCCTTTATGTCAAGGGCAGCAAATCTGTGAACACAGTTTGATAGCTCAAAGCAGCTGAGGATTCACAACACACTAAATTGGTATATTTCTTGCAAACCTTGGTAATCCACATTGCTCACCAAAAATATATTGTGAAAAATTAACAAATCTGATGAAACCTCATGAAATCTGATGAAAACTGATGAAATTCATGGTTTTCATCAGTTTTCATCCGCTTTCATCAGGTTTCATGAATTTTCATCAAATTTCATCAGTTCTACCATTCTCTATTTACTTTGGATCCTGCTAAGTGTCTATACGCTGCTGTTTTGGCGGCTCTGCAGGGTCGCATGCCAGTCATGGCTTTATGCCACAACCCCCCAGTCAGCGCACAGACCGAAAAAAAGGTTCCTACGTGTAGTGGATACGCTTGTCCACTCTGGCCATTCGGCCTGCGAGTTCCTTCAGTACCTCTCCTCCGTCATAAAGGCACCGAGGCCTGGAACAAAGCGCTTGCTCCACCAATTCGCAGGCTGTGACTCATGAAGCGGTCTTCAGGGAGCCCCTCGGCCTTTGCGGCCTTCTGTAGCACTGCTTGGACCTCCGTCCGGCGGAGGGTGGTACCATTCCCCCATCGAAACAGGGGCAAGTGAGCTTCCGGGCCGGTGAAAACCTTCGCTGGGCTACCAGTCGTAGCTCTTCCAGGGCTCGTACAGGACAAAGAAACATCTCGCCCGTCAAGCCCATGGTTTTTGCAAGATCCGAATGCTTCCTGATCCGCCTTAGTCTTGCGGAACTGTAGCGTGACTTCATTTGCTCCTTCCTTCACATCCTGGCCGTTCTTGGTGAGCCTGACGTCCATGCCCCGGATGATCATGTGGGCGTCCACGCCTCCGGAATCGCAGTACTCCTTGGCGCGAAGCATGAAGAACCACCAGCAAGGCCGCTTGCACCATCGCCTTGTCGACCCATGGTCCTCCCCGAACAAGTCGCTGTTGCATAGACTTTTCCCAACCCACACCAGCATTCCCGGTGTCACACCCAGGCGCCGAGGCTTGCGCTCCGCATGTCGATCCAGCGAAGTGATCAGCATCCACACTCGGAACATTCCTTCAGTCGGGTCACCAGCTCCTCCTCGCTTATGGCCGTCCTTCACCGCAAACAAAGCCTGCTTGATGGAAGCCGCTGTAGTGCCCAGCCATCCAAGGTGGCCCAGGAACGCCAAGAGCTTGTCCTCGTTCTCCAACTTATCCCCTCTCACATTGAGGTAGCACGAGGGCCAGCCTTGCCGGGCCGCCCACGCCTCCCACTTTCCCCACGCGGACTGGTACATCCGCAAGGTGCTGGTTGCTTTGCTTCCGGCAATGTTTTCTTCGAGCCACTCCTCCACGTGGGTCTGAACTGACCCATCGAAAGGAATCTTCCTGGGCTCGAGGAGCACGTGTTGGTCAGCTGGCAGTTGGGCAGGCTTCGTGGACTTTGGGCGTCGGCCTCCTGCAGATGTGTCCCCGAAGTACTCCTTCAGCGTCACCTCGGGCATGTCCTCCGTGTCCAGGTCGCGGTCGAAGCAAGACAACCATAGTGCTTCGCCCAATCTGGAGACAGGGCGAGTAGATTGACCACCACCGGCGCGTCCGTCACCCCCGAACGTGTCACCCAACTTGCGGAGCCAGGCTAACAGCTTGGCCATGGAGAGGTCGTACGGCTCATTCCCGATGGCTCCCGCCTTCGTCCCCTCTCCGAGGATCTCCCCGAACTCGACCAAAGCGCCCGCCATCACCAGCAAGCCGGAAGCCACCTGAATGCCCGTGGCTCGGTTGCCTTGCTCTGCCACCTCCTTTTCCGTTCGACCTTGTCGGATGAGCTCGTCCCACGCCGACCCGGTTCGTCCCTGGCAAATCCACACTTCGCGAGCTTGAAGTACACGAAGCTGTCCCGGATGGCACCTCAAACCCTCCATCCTTTGCTCGTAAGGGCCATTTTCCAGGACCTGCAAGCCCATGCACATTGATCCTCTCTTCTTGAGGTGAGTTCCAAGCATGACCCACCACCTGTGGCAGCAAAAGGTCCCTGGGGATGATCACCAACCTGAAAGGCCTCCTCCACACCAAGTCTTGGCTGTGGCTCACCTTTTCCAGTGAGGCTCCAAGGGGGGAAGCCGTCACCGTTTTGACGAGACACCTCTGCACCACATCCTCCGTCACCTCGAAGCGGGTCAGACAGCGTCTCCGCCGTGCCAGAAACTCACCCAGCTCCGTGGACACGAACTCGATGACCACGCCTTGAAGACCATTGGCTTGAAGGCCTTCCCGCGCTCGCTCCCAGGGCGCGCATCTTGGGCCCTCCCAGATCACTACGAAAGGCTGCAGCCTGGCGACCTCCTTGATGAGCTTGGCGACCAGGACCCCCTTCCCGTCGACCAAACGTCCAATCGATGGTCCCCGTGACAATGCCATCACGCTCCACCCAAAGGTCCGGCAAGATGATGGACGCCGCGTTCGGTGGGTTCTCCCTTCTCTCATGCTCAGAAGGCGGGGCCCAAACCCCTTGAGGGTTTTCGTTCTCCTCAGCCGGGCTCATGCTGCTCTCCATTCTCCTGGTCGCTCAGTTCCCAAGACATGTTGCTGCTGTTGACCTCCTCCGCCTCGAAACCCTGATCGCCCGCGCCCTCTGCCTCAAACACCTGGTTCTCGTCCTCCGCAACCTCCGCCTTCTCCGTCACGTAGGCATGGTCAAGGGTCTCCTCCGTCGTGTTGGTGACCTCCGCCTCCTCCGTCACGTAGGCCTGGTTGTAGGGCTCCTCCACCGTTGGGTTTGGCGGGTCTGAGAAGAGCTCGACAGGCTGCAAAGCTTCTTTGATCCACTCCTTTGTCATCCCAGCGGTGGTTGTTGCTCCTGCCAAACTTGACCCTTCCATCTGATTGTAAGAGGTCGCCACAGCTGCTAAGGAGCTGTGTTGACGCACCAGGCCTGACATCAGCCACCCTTCTCCAGCTCTTCGAGGAGGTTTGCGCAATCTGCATGCCACCTTGCCGGGAGCGCTAACTGGTTGATCATGGCGGGCGTGCCAGTAGAAGTTGAAACCCAGCACCGGAGTACTCTGGCGCTCCTCCGCCAGCCATGACGTGAGGTCGAAGTCTGTGGGAGGCTGTAGCAGCACCATATGTCCCTTCCAGATGAGGGTCCACAATGTCCAACCCCCTTCCTCCCACTCTGGCCCCACGACGGTCTCCACGATCAAGTTGCCCTGGAAGTCCGCGCGCGCCACCACCACCTTGGCTGCCATCAGCTCCATGATTGGAAAGACTGCCAGGCTCCTGAAGTCGCGTTCGTGGGCAGGCTGAAGAAGATCATGTAGGTATACCCGCAGCTCAACGAACTCCACCGGCTCTCCCATCTGAGTGGCCGCGTCCAGTTCATCAAAGGGCGTAAATGCCCACAGGTCCTTGCCTGCCCAGATGACGAAGGTGCTCCCTGGGTACGTTGTCGTACAGTTGAGGTTCTCCAGGTTTTCGATTGCCTGTGTAAACAGCAGATCCTCTGGGCCAAACGGACCGAAAGGTAGCGAAGTGCCTTGAAGGAAGGTTGGAACTCCGTGCAGGTTGAGATGGTTCTCAGTGGTATGCTGCACAGGGATCGGCTCGCATGCCTGAATCGAGCAGAGCAAGTAACCTCCAAGAAAGATATCGCACTCCCTCTCACTGGACAGGAAGTCGTAGACAAGGTCAGTGGGAGTTGGCTGCAACGAAAAATGCTCGACGCGGATTTGCATCATCAAGCGCAAAGGCAACCGAAACAGCATAGCCCCTAGCTCGCGAAAGTTCTGGTGCTTGCCTACTTCAATTGAGAATGTCTCATCAAGGAAGGCCACCTTGGCATTTGGACATACTACATGAAAGCTCGGCTTGGGGAGTGAATGCACAAACTGAACGATGTTCCGGACCCAAACGTGATCCTTTTCAACAAGCACCACAGTAACGTCAGCATGGATTCGGCTTAACCAACACTTACGAAGGCATTCCTGAATGGGAAGCTGCTGCTTGGTGATTGACGACAGCATAATCAAGAGACAGATCAATGCATGTGGGACACTGATGGCATTTCCAATCTGGTGGAAGGCTTTGCTTAAATCAAGTGGAAAAGCAATGTCGGTCACCGTGCCGAGCAACGCAACAAAGCGAACCGGGTCAAGGAAATAGAAATTTCCATCTCGTTCAAGCACACTAGCAAAAATGCCTCTCCTCTCCAAGTGGCTGCGGTCAAGATTATGCTGCTGAGTGTATGACGAGCACAAAGTTGCCAAAGGCTCTTGCGGCAGCGGAATTCGAGCACGGATCACCTGGAGGGCTGTCACCGATATGGGTGCACTTTTGCTCGCTTTCCCAGGGGCAGAAGCTGAAGCTCACCATACGTAAGGAACTGGTCCGGAGACAGTTTCAACTGGTGCTGGATCTCCCTGGGCAGGGTGAAGGAATACCTATCGTCAGTCCAAGGCACAATGGGTGGAACTATCAACTTGAACAAGGTCGAGACCGCTGTCGCGGGAACATCTGCACGAACCCATAGGGCAAGCCACCTGTTTCGATAATGGTGGGCAAGATAATGGTAAGGCAAAATCTGTTCCCATGCAAGCTTGTACCCTAGTTGGGTCAGGAGGGCACCGAAAACATGGAAGTGATGATGAGATTTTATCTCATCAGCGCACTCAAAGATCGCAGCTACCGGTTGCGTCGCAAAGATCATCTCGATGCTTTCCAGGAGGGCGAACCCATGCGACGAATCAAGCCCTCCTCCAGTACCACCTTTCGACCACGACACGCAAGGTGGGCTGAGTGTCTCAACCAGGTTAAAAGGCATCCTCACTGCATGGAGCGTAGTGAAGTCCGAAATACTCCCTTCCACAATGATCTTCTTTGCAGTTACGAAGTCTGGATTAGGCTCCAGTGGAGCCTTGACGACCAATGCGCTGTGGTTCAATGCACAAGTCTTGACAACGGTAGGGTCCCAATCCAGAAACAGTTGTCTGTCAGCAATGAACCCAACATCAGCGGTCTCCAGCCATTCTGCTGCCTGCGACCATCCACTATATCCACCTGAAAACAGGTGAAGTACATTCCAGTGGAGTTCCGGGTAGTGCACAATAGTGGCTCCCTTCTGCAGCTCAATCGTCGTGCCATCCTCTGAGATGGATTTCAAGATCCCTGCAAGCAGGATCTTCTCCCCCGAGCAGACTAGCGGATAGCAATTGTTCAAGCCCGGGACACGAATGCTCGCGCCAGCCAACAAAATACCATCCCACTGTAAGCCAACACGATGGTGCAATGTGCACAGCGAGCCGAAGATCTGGTCATGGAGGACCCTGTCAACCTGCATCGCAAACATCGATCGATGTCCAATCAGTCCATCTATAGTCGAATCGTGAGGGAACTTTCGAAAAACTTCCAGGACCCGTCGATCCAAATCTGGATCACGCAGCGAAGGACCCCAAGGGAGGTCAGCCATGAGCGCGAGGTTCAAAGGAACACGGGATCCTAAAAGCCACAGGAACGAGGCTGGCCGCACGGGGGTGCAGGCCTTAGTAGACACCGCACCCCACCTTGTGGCGGCAGCACGGTCCTGGGGGCCCAGATGTCTCCTTGACAAAAGGAGAAGTGTGGCAATCAGAACTTGAG